GTGGCGGAGATGCCAAAAACGAAACGGAAAGTTCCTTTGAGTTTGTGAGGAGAAACGGACTTCGTTTCGTTTTTGTTTTGTTTTGCCCCCTGTGTGGCGAAGCCCTGAGAAACAGTCATACACCTTTTCCCTGCTCTTGCATGTCACTCTATCCTGCCATCCACATATTTCTTTCCTTCCCGTTGGCCCTACCTCCCCTGCCCCATACTCCTAGAGAACTCCGACTTCTATCCCTTACCCTCCACCCTCCACTCCACTCCCTCTGTACTACTAACAAATACATACGAATGAGCATCATGAAGAGTACAGACGATATGAAGATCAGAAATGAAATGAACGGAAGTATGAAGATGAAGGACGGATGTCCTTCGGGACATCCGTTAAAATTGGAACGATACAGAGAAGATTAGCATGGCCCCTGCGTAAGGATGACACGCATAAATCGAGAAATCGTCCAAATTATAATAATAATAAAAAAAAAAAAAGATGAAGGATGGACACAAAGGCTGTATAAGCTGAAGATCCACAGGGGCATACCTTCCCTTTTACTCTGCCTCCTGAAATAACGTGCAAGTGGGCCGTGGAGGCACAGGCGGATGTGGGCAGCTGCTGCTCAACCACAGTCAACTTGGGCAGCCTTGCCATGATGTACATGTTCTGGGCTAAGGCCCCAGCAAGCCTAGTGCCCGCCCTAAGTGAAGGGGGGCCAGCAAATCAACAAGAGCCCTTTGTGCAAACATTTCCCGAAGTCGGGGTCCATACAGTTGCAGCACGCCAGTTGGTTGGAGTGCACCGAGTCTCRAATCTCTGCAAATGTGGAGATCCCAGGGCCTCTGAGTTAGTTAGGCCCTGGGCACTTGAACGTGAGGCCGACAATGCATGCTGGGTATAGAGGCCGAAAATGCCAAAGGGAAATCGGCCCACGATCTGAATCTGGCCACAGGCCTTGATGAAAGAGGCGCAACTGCATTGCCCCGGGCCTCAATTGTATCGGGCTGGGTTCAGCTACTGGGGCCAAGTCGCAGGCTGAAGGGAGGCCGCCCACACGCAGCACTGGCATATAGGCAAGCAGGGCGAGTGGGCAGGCATCTTTGGCCAATGYGGGCATTGCCGGCACGCTGCGCGAATGCGAGCAGCTGCGCTGCTGTGCTGCGCTAGGCGGAGGTGAGATACARGCAGGTGCTAGGCGGTAGGGCGCTGCCTGTGGGCGCAAGGCACTGGCGGCCATAGTCGGGCTGCCTGTGTGCGCAGAAGAGGTGAGGGCGAAGGTGGTTCTTCGGAGGTGAAGGGCGCTGTGTGGGTAACAAGGGAGAGTGTGGGTGAAGAGGACACGTACCTGGTGGAGGTGGAGGTCGGCATTGGTGTTGACATCATCACTCGCTGGTAGTCAAGTTGTCTGGTTGCTTTCATTGCTGTAGTTGTAGGCTTAGT